AAAAAAAAGAAATCCATCAAACCAAACCAAAAACAATCCCTTAAACAGATCATCCACCAAAGTTCATCTTTTTCTTCAAATTTCTTTTCCATTTGTTTTTCCTTCTTCATTTGTCCGCCTCTTCTTCACCGCATCATCTGGTCTTCTTCATATTCACTGTAGCTCAAAACAGAACTTTGAAAAAAAAAAAATCTGGAAAAATCTAGATCTGAATTTAAGAGTTCAACATCGAAATGCTCATGGGGGCAACGACCATGAAGCTAGAGTACTCTGTCGACACCAAAGCTCGCCGAATGGTGAACCATAGGTCCTGATATAGCCACAATGCTGTCACAATGACTGGTGCTAGGAAGGAGAAGGATGAGGAAAAAGAGAGAGAAAGGAAGCAGAAGAAGAAGAACGAGGAGAAGAAGGGGTTCCCAAATCTGTTTCTTTGTTTTTTTTTTAAATTCTTGTTTGGAGATTTCAGATTTTAGAAAACTTGAAATTAGTACAAAGTAGTGATGCATTTTTTTTCTCTTCTCTACCATGATTCTAAATTTCTTGCAAAAACTTTGATTTGGGTATGGAGGTTTGGCCAGATGCAACGTGTAAAGGCGATGCCACGCAAACCAGTCAACAGACGGCATAACGAATCTCCATTAGCAGAGGGGCTAATTTGTTCTGATTTTTTTGGATTGAGGGCCTATTTGCTCATTTTTTTAGTTTAGGGGCTAGTTACTTATTATTGGAAAAGTTTAGCGGCTTAAGAAGGCGTTTTGCCTTCTTTTTACAAATTGCGTTTACTCAAAATGTTAAAATGTGTGATGTAAACCTAAGTGTCACTTAAAATTTTCCACTAGCTTCGAATTTTCTTATTTTTAAATCTGAACCTTTTTATATATAATCATACTTACAATTCAATACAAAACACCATCAAAAGCTGAGTAAAGGTGCAAATAAGGATTTCAATTTTGCATTTTTTTTTATTTAAGGATATTAACTTTGATAGTTTTTAAATAAGGATGTTAACTTTCAATTTTTTTCTAAATAAAGATGTTAACTTTGTCAGTTTCTGAATAAGGATGTCAACTTTCAACTTTTTTCTATTTAAGGATGTCAACTTTCAACTTTTTCTATTTAAGGACTAATTGAATAGTGATTCTGACGTGGGTACTATATTTTTTAGGTTAAATACCTGAATTGGTCCCTCAACTTTTATTTTTGAACCAATTCATCCTTAAACTTCAGAAAGTACCAAAAATGTCCTTCAACTTCAATTTTCAATAAATAAAATTATTTCCTAATTCATGGAAGAATTAATTAAATTTTATTTAACTTTATTAAATGGTAGGTGGGACTAATTAAATGGGAAAATATATTAATTATTTTAATTTTTAAATATAAATAAAGTAAAATTAAGAATTAAAATAATTTGTAAATTATTTAAAATTAAAAAAAATCCACATAATTATCTTTTACATGATGGATTTTCCACCTAATATTGAAAATATGAAATAGTCAATCACTTAGCGAAAAAATTAGCTACATCAACATTTAACTGATGGAAAGACGAAATTGAAAATTGAAGTTGAAGAACATTTTTGGTACTTTCTGAAGTTCAAGGATGAATTGGTTCAAAAATAAAAGTTGAGGGACCAATTCAAATATTTAACCTAAAAAAATATGTTAGCCATGTCAGCATCACTATTCAATTAATCCTTAAATAGAAAAAGTTAAAAGTTGATATCTTTAAATAGAAAAAGTTGAAAGTTGAAAGTTGAAATCCTTAAATAGAAAAAAGTTGAAAGTTAACATCCTTATTTAGAAACTGATAAAGTTAACATCCTTATTTAGAAACTGACAAAGTTAACATCCTTATTTAGAAAAAAATTGAAAGTTGACATCTTTATTTAGAAACTATCAAAGTTAACATCCTTAAATAGAAAAATCTACAAAGTTGGAATCCTTACTTGTACCTTTACTCATCAAAAGCTTTTTTTATGGTCAATTGAAACGTATTGTTATGAGTTTATGTTACCTTATATGTTTTCAACATAATCAACTTAAGATGGTGTTTGGTTGTCAAGGAATTTCAGAAAAGTCATCAGATTATCTAACTTTGACAACAATTGTTAGTGTTTGATGGTTTATTACATAAGCTAACCAGGATTTTGAAAAAAAAAAAAAAATGAAAAAAGAAGGAGGTCATGCCCTGAAACTCCCTCGAGCTTCAAACCTTGACAAGAAGAGCTTCCCGAGCAATGTATCAATATGACTAGCTGTGTAGCATTTAAAAACAAGTTAATTTGACAAAAATACTTCACTATGTTTAGTTATTCTAAGTTTTAAGCACATTTAACTACTTCTAAAAGGTTTACAAAAATCAACTTTAACAGTATAATTGACTATTTTAATATATATAAAATTATAATAATTCTAAATAAAAGACTACTTTTTCAAAATAATGATTACTTTAACAAAATAATGGATAAATTTTTATTAAAAAAGACGGCAATATCATTAATAGCCTGCGAAATTGGCTAATATAGCTTAATAGTGACGTCAAGCAATAGCTTAGTTTACAAAAACCAGTAAAATGCTAAACAATTATGGAGTTGTTTAGTATGGTGATTTAAAATTAATGATTAATAATTTTATTTAATTTAATAAATAAAAATATTTAAATTATTAATTATAATAATTAATAATTATTAAATTAAACGAAATTGCTAACTATTAATTTTAAACTACTGTACAAGTCATATTAGAAGCTCGTTCACTATGGGGGTGGATGTCGGCCGGTCGGGCGGTTCAGTGATCAAACCTATCATTTTTAATAATTAATCAATTTTTTAATTATTTATTGTAATAAATCATTAACGAACCAAAATAGAGTTGTTTTTATCGGTTTAATTTTTTTTTTTTCCAATTTCACCGATTCGAATCAGTTTTAAACTGCATATCTATAGCTTTATTTCAAGTTTTAAACTTTCTTTTCAATTAGCGTTTCATTCCACATTTTTTGATTTCAAATGGCCAAAACAAAATTAATAAAACTTAAAACAACAATTTTTTTCTGATGAAAAAAACAATAAAATTTTTAAACATTCACAAATAGTTGCATATAAAAGAAGTTGGAAAATCATTAAGTTTTCACAGTTAAAGCATATAAGGAACACATTCACTAAAAGCAAACCAACAAGGCAATAGGAACTCGAAAATGAGTCATCAAACTAAAAGCATTTATCATTTATTCAAAACATTAAGAAATCCTAAACCATAAGATAGTCATCAACTAATCAAACTAAGCTTACTAAGTAACATTGCATAACTATTTAGATTGCCATTAGTTTTGTTGGACTAGAAAGTAAGAAATTGTAGAGAATAGAACGTAGCCAGCCACCATCATCCCAAAAAGCAAATGACATGATGCATCCTCAAGCAAGCACGTCACTGGTTTTTTCTCCTTCTTTCTTGGGTATTTGGAGGTTAATTTGTCCAAAAAAAAAAAAAAAAGCAGCAACAAATAGATCGTGTAAACTGTATGAAAAAGAACTCTATCAATCATCCATCGCTCTTGATCCTATTTACTTGGCAAGACCCCTTCACATGTCAATTAGCAACAACAAACAGAAGATAGTAAATTAAAAATAAAATATTTGAGTACCAATTTTATAGAGAAATCATAAGAAATTACTTCATGTAATTAATACTAAACACCTTTACTTAAAATTGGATGCATGGTGCATCCAACTGCAACTTCTCCACCTCTATCGAGTTAAAAAGAAAAAAGAAAAAAGAAAAAGGAAAAAGTTTCAATCAATGTAATTAACTTAAGTATAATACAAAGAACCAAAAATAGGGAAATTGTAAAGATTTAACTATACCTTTCTCCATGTTTCTCAAAGTATTCTCATTCTTCAAATCAAGAGCTTATTTTGCTCTAGATCTCAGCCAATCTTAGGCACAAATTAGTGCCTAAGCCATCCTTGGGGTTAAAGAGCTCCTAAAGAGATCAAGAACTTGACCCCCAGTGCTAAATGCAGCTTTAGAAGCCACAATAGAGATTGGGACAACCAACACATCCTTAGCCATTGAAGCTACAATGGGAAAAGTCAGACCATGGACTTCCACCACTTAAGAACATCAAACTCCTTATCAAATGGCTTTGTTTCATCACTCAAGTACTTCTCCAACTCTAACTACTTCTTAGCATTGCATTAAATTCCTTCTTTATACCTTGAATATTCATTCATTAGATATGTCTTCCTCTTTTTAATGGTTAAGGCTCCTTCATTGCATTGTTACCTACATTCTGAATTAATTATTAGGTAGAAGATTGGCCTCTAGTGTGCAAAAACAAAAACAAAAAAAGAACCATTAGTTAAGTTATATAATTAAAATTTATAATATTTTAATTTTTAATTATAAAGGGCAACATAAAAGAATGATCCCTTTAAACTAAAACTAATATGCTAACCTTTCCAGTACATTGTTAGAATAGTGCTAGCTCTTATATGCTTCAAACAACTTGAAGCATTCAGCTTTCACCATCTCTCCATAAGCTTCGCCTTTAACCTCACCAAACATCCTTACCATAAAAAATTGCACGAAGCCAAGCTTGTGCCCTGGGTCCAAAACTATTGTAATGAAGATGTTCTTATTCATCTTCAAAGGATCACCCCAATACTTGTCATACTTATCCTTCATATTTGTAACCATCTAACTCAAATCAACATCATTTTCCCATAGTTTAAGAAGCTTGTCCACTTCACATATTTCTAGAAAATACAAGTTTGAAGTGATATATAAACTAGTAGAAACTTTCTCTGTCAAGAAATAAAATAGTTCCAAAAACATCACAAGCCTCCTTATGTTTTCCCAATTGATACCTAGACCAGAATTCAATTTAGTCCTCATGGTTGGATCATACCTTGAATACCTTTAAATTGTACAACAAAAAACTATTAAAATAATGGCAATATATGAAAATATAAGATAGACTAAATTATTAGAATGATTATAATTTATAATAATAAAATGCTATAAAAGGAATATAATTAAATTAATAAAATGATGACAATACATGAAAATAAGCCAAGTAAACTTCTTAAATGGATAAAATTGACCTTTCAAATGCCATTTCAAACTTCTCTACAATATCAAGCATTATATATAAATAATTCCACCTATGTTGCACATCCAAGGACAACAGCTTTTTGGAGTCAATTTTTCTCAACCTCAACAACCTCCTTAAACCTCAATTTTCTTTGGGAACTCTGCTTAATGTATTTGCAAGCAACTTTCATAGAAGCAATAGAATTATTCATCAATTTAACTTCATCTTGTACAACTAAATTAATAATATGTGCTACACACCTCATGTACAGTTCATCCCCACCTAGGACACTTGTACCCCACTTTTTTAAAGCATTCTTAAGCACTTTCTCAACTCCATCATTACAAGATGCATTATCAACATTTATTGTATACATCTTCCTAAGTCCCCAATCCCTCAAACAAGGTGCAACTAAGTCACCTAACTCTTCTCCTTTATGAGAATCTACAAGGTAGAAATTATGTATTTTCTTATGCAACCTCCAATTGTCATCAATGAAATGGGCAATTAAACTCATATAAGATAATTGGGTTGATGAGCTCTAAGTATTAGTGGTTAAGGAGACTCTTTGCTTTGATTCCTTAAAATAGTTTAAGGACTATTTTTTCATCGAGATAGATTTCAT